TTGACTGTATTGAGGAAAATTCTTAGCTTTGGTTTAGTCCAGTTGTGCTGGCTTCCCCTGTAGTGTGTGCTGTCCTTCCCTTCACCTAAGATGATTCTTATCTACTATCTACTTAGTGAATAACCCTCACCCTCCCTCCCTACTCCCGTAACGATCAAAGAATGTTTTCTTCTGTGTTTAAACCTTTTCTTGAGTTCTTATAATAGTGGTCTCACACAGTATTTGTCCTTCTGTGACTGACTAAATTCACTCAGCATAATAAGTTCCAGCTTCCATGAAGTTATACGATGTTTCACAGCTTCATCATTGTTCTTTATCATTGTGTAATATTCCATTGTGTGGATATACCATAGTTTGTTTATCCATTCGTCCATTGATGGGCACTTAGGTTGCTTCCATCTTTTTGCTATTGTGAACAGTGCTGTGATGAACATGGCTGTGCATATATCTATTCATGTGACAGCTCTTGTTTCTCTAGGATATATTCCAAGGATCATGAAAAGGTCGGTGGCCTCATGTTGAAACCTTGAAGCTTGTAGTTTGCACAGCACCCAGCAAATGTTGCTGTGTTTTTCTTGAAATTTTAAAATATCCCATGGCTTCCCTTGGAGTTCACTGTGGCACCCTGGGGTAGCTTGACACACAGTTTGGGAACCCCAGCCTTAGTGTCTTTCAGTTTATATGCTGTCAATCCCAGAACTGTTTTCATTTTGACCTTTATCTCCAAGTATGAAATGAAAGGCTTCCTGTTAAATGGATGTCAGACATTTGGGGATCAGTGGGAGAATTAGTGGAGAGCAGAGAGAACATTCCTAAAGCAGTGAAGACCACGTTTAAGGAAAGTTTGCTTTTGTTTCCACCACAAATTGCTTTTGGCACCTGTGCAGCAGGAGACTTCACAAGCTCTTAGTAATTCTCTGCCCCTGAGGAAGCATCCTTTGGGGAATGGGGTGCTAATCCACATGGCCACATTTCTATAAGTGCTGAGATCTGTGCATGTGTTTCAAGGGAGACACACTCAGATAGGTGCAGTCCTTCCTTAGGCGACTGCCACTCATTCTTCCCACCTTGTTACTCCCATGCCCAGAAATTCCTGATCTGGAGATCCTACTTTACCATTTTGTGCTTATCATTTCCTGCCATTTTCCAGCCCCTCACGGACGGGGTCCCTTACTTCCCACCACCTTTGAAGGTGGAAAAACCCATTGCCGTTAGTTGATTCCAACTCGTAGTGACCCTATAGGACAGAGTAGAACTTCCCCATAGGGTTTCCAAGGAGCGGCTGGTGGATTCGAATTGCTGACCTTTTGGTTAGCAGACGTAGCTCTTAACCACTGTGTCACCAGGGCACTATTTGAAGGTGGAGAGGTGTTTATTTTCTCCCCTTGTGGCAGGCCTGGCTCTGTGGTGGCTCCGTTGAGATCCTTCCCTGCTCTCGGGTAGGGCACGTCTACCGAAATCAGGATGCCCAACCCCTCCTTGACCACAAGGCCACCCTGCAGAACAAAGTTCGCATTGCTGAGACCTGGCTGGCGTCGTTCAAAGAAACCTTCTACAGGCACAGCCCAGAGGCCTTCTCCCTGAGCCAGGTAAGGAGACAGCTGATGGGGGCTTCTGTATACACCACAGGCCGCCAGCTGGAGGCCGGGCCGGGAGGGCCTCTCCCTTCTGCCTGGAGGGGAGAATAGAAGCTTCTGGCTTAGGCTTCCCTTGAGTTGCCCCCTCCAGGGGCTCCTCTGACCTGGTGGGGCTGTCCCCTGCCTTTCCCAGAATTTCCATGCGGCATTGCAACCGATTTCAGCCTGGAACTCCCTGCTGTGGTTCCCTTGATGGAATGCAATCCTTCACCACACAGCAGAGGAGAGACTGGGTGGAGGCGAGCACTGAAACCAGCCTGCCAGGACACGGTCATCCTGGGCACAGTGCTCAAGCTGATGAAACTACCCAAGACATGAAATAGCCATATATATAAAAATGAAAAATATAAAGTCAAAAAAACACTGAAAAATGAAGACATTCAACATTGAATTTAATGCTTACAAATATAGTGCTTTGTTAACTGGTCAACCATCACCCAATTCTTGAGGAGTGACACATTAAATGCTACTTAATGTGGCACATGGGATCACTTTAGTGTTTGCCATGCTTGGCGTAGGGGCTCCAAGTTAAGATTTCAGGACCCACAAAGGTCTTGGAACAGCTCCCACAAGCCCCTTGCTAGCCCACATTGCTGGGTGGTTAGGTGTGAGTTGTTTAACTGAAAGGCTGGGCCCTTCAAATGGAATGACATAACTGTGCCCACTAACCAGGCCTTTCTCCGAGTGCAGGGGAACGTCAGACAGGGATCCTGGTCCTCAAGGATTTGCCCTTTGCCCACCCCCAGGCACCTGCTTCTTAATTCTCCAGCTGCATTTCCAGAAGCCCCACACCCTCAGGTGAAGGCTCAGACCCTTGACCAACCCTGTGTCTCAAGTCAGAATAGCCTCCAGGGCCTCATGGGAGGAATCTTGATGCCAGGGACCTGGAGGTGTAGGGCTCCAGGATTGGTGGATTAGGTCTCCTCTAAGCTGCAAGGTTGTTTGCTTATTTAACTGAGGAAAGTGTTAAAGACTCACAAACTCCCTGCCCTCAACAGCAATTCCCAAGGTCTGGAAAGTCTGGAGCCCCTCTTCATCGTGTGAGTTAGTCACATTATTATACAGAATGGCATCAGTCCCATTCCTAATCAGCTATGCTACTGATGGCAGCCTCTTTAGTTACTACTCTAAGAAAGGCTCTGAAATGAAAGGAAAATCCTCACAAGGACACCACTCAATCTTAGCTAGCATCTTTGTTCTTCTTCAGTCTCCTTCTCCTGCTCCATAGAGGGGAAGTGGGAGGATGTGACCAACTCTAGACATCACTGTAGAAGCCATATAGCCTAATGGTTAAAACTACAGACTCCAAGAATGGTAATGCCTGGGTTTGAATATTGGCCCTTTGGCTGTATGATATTGAAAATTACTTAACAACTCAGTGATTCTGCTTCTTCATTTGATAATCCTTCCTTATGAGGTGGTTAGTATGACTGAATAGGTTACTATACCTGAAGCACTTAGACACTGAGTAAGCCCTACATGAGTGTTCACTACCATCATTATTACCATGGTTACTAGTAGTCAGCAAAGGTCAACCAAGCACCTGCCCTGTGCCAGGCCCTGTGTGGGTCCTGAACTGTGCCTGATGCTGCCCAGCTCCTGGTGAGGGCAGGAGTTCCCCTGTGAGGAGTAAAACCCACAAAGGCCACAGCAATTCATCCCAGACAGGCTCATGAGGGACACTTTCACAGAGGAGGTGGTGGTTGAACTCTGGCTGGATGGGTACAACTTAGGTGTCTAGAGATGGAGCTGTGAGGAGATTCTGGAGCCCTTGAATGCCTGGCTAAACAGTTTAGACTATCCAGTTGGCCATGGGGAGCAAGTGGTGTGATCTGAGTTCTACAGAGTTCTATAGAGGTCCACAGAGCATCTCTTTTACCTCTCTCTGGATGTCAGTTTAGTATTTGCTCTTTGCTTTCAGAGAACACTTGCTCAATGTTTGCACAGACTGCATTTATGAAGAACTCTTAAAGAAGTGCTAAATACAGCATAGTATTTCCAATGCACCTTCCACCAGACAGGCTCAAGCTAGAACATGGTACTTTGGCTGCAGCCAGTCTAAAAGCAAAACCATGTAAATTATTTACAGAATTTCCCTCTTCTCACCTCAGTTGTCTCTACGTTTAGAAGTGCCATGAATATACACTTGGCTCCAGACAATAACAGAATTTGGGAACTGGGGTGATGCTGGTATTTTAGAGCCCAACTGGTCTACTTTTGAGAAAATACAATTTGCTTGTCTAGTTGCTGGCTGGGAAATTTTTAAGTGCTTGTTTGTGTTCAGCCAAGCCCTTCATTCTATTAACAAGAAAACCAAGGCCCTGTGAGAGATATTTGCTAAAGAAAAGTAAGAAAAGATCTAGGACTAGAATTACAACTACAACTAGAACCTGGGTCCAGCCTTATAGTTTGTTTTCAGCCTCCCAGCTTCCTGGTGTCTGGAAACACTTATCCTCAAATACAGATACCACCCCCGTCCAGGAATAGCTGGTGTTCCATGAAGCAACTATATAGTTTTGTCTGAATTTGGGGGATGCAGGGCTATGCTTAAAATATAGAACGTGCTCAATAAATGTTTCAAGGACCTATAAGATCAGCAAGGGCAGGAACAGTGTCTATTTTACTCACCATTGAAATTTCCAATGCCTGGTACAATTCCAGGTGCACAGTAGGTGCTCAATAAATATTCATTGATGGACTGGATAGTAGATGGTGAGGTGAAAATGTTACTGAATATGATGACAAGTTCTCACTCTGACCTTTTAGAAGCTATTGACCTTGGGAAAGTCATTTAACCTCTGAGAACTCTTATTTTAAGAGCTGTTGTAAGGATCTAACGAAATGAAATACACAAGGGCGCTTTGGAAAATATAAAGTACCAGATAATACTAGGCTCACCTGTTTCTTAAAGTCTGTGGGTTGAGGTACCTTAGTCTTTTTTTTATTCCTTTGGATGTCCATTGTCTGATCCACAAATGCCTCCATTAGTGCATTTGATGACTTTCACAAGGAGGATGGTGCCCCCTACTGGTCAGTAAGAGGACAGGTTTAGCAGAGGACTCCCTTTTCTGAATCATTTTTTTCTTTAGAACATTCCATTAATTCATGTTTTGAAAAATGTTCTAATGCTTGCTTTGATTTCAAGATTTCAAGGCCATCCCTGCCTCTGCAAGTGTTTGATAATATGCACTTACTTGAAATTTAAATAGTCAAAAATCAGTTTTGCTCTAAGGATTTCTACCCTCCTAGCCCCCTTCTCACCATCACCTCCAATAGCCTCACACAGATTTTGAGACACAGAAATCCTGGCACCCAAGAAAACAAAACTGGAGTTTCACTGCTGGAGCACTGTCCTTCCCTTGGTTTCTCCTCTCTCACGGCATGGTCTTACAGAAAGGAAAGTTCATTGTCAACATGACCCCTCATCTGAAGTCACACAAGGGCTGGGTTCTTTTGCCAGTTTGTTTCATCACCAAGAAAGGTCAAAGTGATGGAACTCACAAGAAGAAGTGTTTCCACTTTGGCAGCGAAATCCAATCTGGAGGAGGGGCTGGGGGTGGTGGTGGTCTCAAACGAACACTAAGAATGTTAAGAACCCGTCAAAAATTTTATACTGATTTTCTCAAGGAAAAGTAATAGATTACTTTGGTTTAATGGTGCCCGTTTAGTTGGAACTTCTCATATGGGCTTCCTGTTCCAGCCTCCTTTCTCTTCCTCTCCCCATCCTAGGAAATAATTATCTCTCTTTTTTGCTTTTGGTTCTCCCAACCCCTCCTCAGCACCTCTTTCTTCCCTAACAATATCCAGGGCTTAGTACTAAACTTCTGGGTAGGGTTCTTTGTATCTTATTAACGCAGTCAAAAGCATTAATTTATACTTAAGTGTTAGGAACTTACTTTGATATCCCTCCCAGAAAAATTGCATTGTAAAGAAATACCTCAAGGAAAGCAGATAGTGTAGCCCAAAGGAATGATTCTTTCAAGGAAGAAATCTGGGCACCTAGAGGAAAATAAAAGTAAACTTGCATTACTCTGCCCTCCCCCTGCCCCCCGAGTTTCACAGCTTACTTCATTTCAGTTGTCTTTGGTTAGGTTCCTGCCTCCATGTGGCCCACCATGGTTCTGCACCACACCGACTAGGTGCAAAGCCCCGCCATTTTGCTGGCTTCCACGGGAAAGTAAGCAAAGCAAGCATACATGGTCTTTGTAGACTGAAGATCTCAGGGGTTTTGGGAGAGGTGAAATCACAAAGCAAGTAGCCACCTATCGTCTTCCTGGTTCCACAACTCTCTCTAAGGAAGACCCATCCTACTCTGCCCCTTCCAAACCCTCTTCCTCCAACATCTGCAGCCCTCACTCTGTCCTGATCCTTCAGCTTCTTCCCAGCCACCTTTCTCACTCCCCCCACTCCCAACATGAATTCTGGCATAAAAACAAGCTTTCTCATCTCACTGCCCGTGTCTTTCTTCTCCCAAGGCTGAGAAGCCAGACTGCACAGAACGCCTACAGCTGCAAAGGAGACTGGGTTGTCGGATGTTCCACTGGTTTCTAGCCAACATCTACCCTGAGTTGTACCCATCTGAACACAGGCCCAGTTTCTCTGGAAAGGCAAGGCATGACCCAGGGCAGAGGAGCAGGAGACTAAATGCTGGAGCGGTGGTGTGGGGTGGGGGTGGGGGCTGGGGGGGGCGGAGTGGGTAAGGAACCTTCCTGAGAAAGGAGCCGGTTGTTCAGAAATAGTTCTAGTTCCCTTGCTCCTCCATTGACCCTGGCCAACCAATCTCAAGTTTAGCGGGGCACCAGAGGCCCTTTAGTCTACATCCTGCCTCCATGTCTGCCCCTAAGAGGTTGACTGGGTTGTCCCATAACCTGTCCCAGAGACCCTGAGAAGAACAGATGTGGCCTGCCTCATTCAGGAGGCCTGTCCCTATGATCAGTGGCCTCAACCTGACTCCACTTATTTTTATGGCTGGAGCATGGCACCTTGAAGTGCACTTCAGAGAGAGAAGTAGAAAAACAATGCCCGATAGAGGATTCTTTACAATGGAGGTCAGGATTCACTTCTGTATGCACGTCTACTTTTAGCTCCACAACACTGGACTTGACTTCTGTGCAGACTGCCAGGCAGAAGGAGACATCTTGGGCTGTCCCATGACGCTGTTTCCTTGCAATGACAACCGGAAGCAACAGGTAAGACCTGCAAGTGGGTGATATTTCCTGGGATGGTTTTCACTTCCCTTTGGGGCATCTCCTCTCAGTGGCCCCATGTCCCTTGACTGCCCATGGACAGTCCCCCACTGTGATGACTCATCTTTCCCATCACAGCACTGCCCACCAACCCCAGCTATAAGCATAGACATGGACCATCATCAGAGAACAAAGGCATTCTGGTTAGAAGGAAATAGAGAGACTATTTAGCCAGCTGCCTCATTTGACAGTGGAGGAAAATGAGACTTAGAGAGTGACTACTCCAAGGGCTGTGAATTCAGATGCCTCAAGAATTCAGGCAGGAAAAGGAATGAACAAAGCGAGCTGGGTGGGGGCTGTTGTGACCTGAGGAGCACTTGCCCCATCTAAAAGGACACAGTTGCATCTCCGTCCTCAGCGTCAATAGATTTTTTTGTCTTACATAGAAGTGAGCCTAATATTATGAGATCATCTGAAATTTTAAAAGATACTAGAATCCAGAATTTATGGAAAATCTCCTTATTTAAATAAAGCAGAGACAAAACAAAACAAAAAAACTTGTGTGCAGGCAAATTTCCACCAGACACCATTTTGAAACCTCTGGAGCAGCCAAAGGTCAAAGGTCATCAGCCAACTAGGACCAGTGGTGGGAACAGTGGGTCACCAGAGTGGGAGCTATGAGCACAGAAGCAGTGAGAGGAAGCAAGAGAAACTCAGAAAATGTCTCCCAGAATTTAACAGGGATCTACAGGAGCCAACAATTTACCCCACAGGGGTGTCTTTAAAGTCACCACAGTTGTTTGGTGTGTGTGTGCGTGTGTGTGTATGTGTGAGTAGCCACTTTGACAAAATTACTCTCCCCTGAGATTTTTATTTTTTTTAATTTAAAGATACTTTTAATTTTCTCACCTAACAAAAATCTAGAAGTAGGTTCTTTTAGGGTTGGTTAATTCAGCAACTCAGCAATGTCAGCCTATGTGGGTCAGCTTCCTCAGAATAATTTTAGCTTTCCCCTCATGGTTGCAAAATAGCTGCCACAGCTCCATTTTTACCCGACAACCTCCAAGGCAGGATGATTCAAAGGCATAAGGGATCTCTTCAGATGTATCAATTTTTTGCTTATAAGGGAAGAAAATCTGTTCTAGATGTTCCACAATACCCAGTAAGACTTCTCCCCTGAGGATTTTTAACAACAGTATGTATCTTATGTGAATTTAGGGTTCAAATTTGCACTAACTGTGTAGTTCAGGAAACCTCAAACAAGACCATCTACATAATCTTCAAGGACAAATGCAAAATGAAAATGCAGGGCCTCTTATTTAACAACTATTAAGAATTTCAAGACAGCAATAAAAGGAAATTAAACCAAGTGTATTAAACCAAAAACATAAAACCTTTCTAAGCACAAGGCTGTATGTGACTGCGCAGGTTCTATGCCCATGAAGCCAGCTCTGTCTGCAAGCCACAAAATTAACACAAAAATTAGTTCCAGGCTGTACTTGGCAGAAACAAACACAAAATGGTTTCGTCAGGACATGCCCTCCAAGCAGGCTGCACAGGCTTCCCACAGTTAAAGCCCCTCTGCAAATAGATTCACACACCTATACTGTAAAACACGAGGAAATAGTAACCATGAGTGAGAGTCAGCAGATACAACAAACAACAGGAAAATTGGTTACACAGGCAGGCCAGATCTCTCCAGAAAGGATCAACTTGGACCTCAAGAGGGTTCTCATCTGCCCTTCCAACTCACAAACGCATGACATTCTTTATGGCCTCACCTGCCATACAGTAAATAGGATAATGGAGGAACATGCCAGAATGTATAAATATGGGCAACTGGAATGTGAAGATTTCAGAGGTAAGGGCTAGTCTAGCAGTGTGTTTGTGTCCTTGACCATGAGACACAGTCTTGCTGACCCCAGTAGAATCTGAAGATTGCCCCTAGGCCTCAGCTGTGTTGCACACAATCCTTTCATCTCCAACTTTAGAGGGGAGGGTCTCCCTCTAGCTGTGCTGTCAAATGTTCCCTCTGTTCCAGCATCTGCAGCATACCGGCAGGAAGGAGATACACTTTGGGAGCCCACAACACCTGTGCTTTGATGTCAGGGAAGAGCAGGTGATTCTTCAGAACTGCACGGAGGAAGGCCCTGTCATCCATCAGCAGCACTGGGACTTCCAAGAGGTAAGTAGTCAGTTCAGGAAGGGCTCAGTAGTGTTGCTGGCCAGAACTTCTGGTCAGCCAGCGCTACACCCCAGGCTCTTCTTGACAAAGGGGATTTTACCATACAGGCCTCTGTTGTCGAACTTGTTGGCTTTACACTAAGGCCAAATCAGATTTACCACTTTTTTCCATTTAATGCAAATTCCCCTGTGAGCATTTTATCATTTTAGTAAGACTTTGATTCCTTTTACTCCCAGTGGAGAAACTCTAGATCCTCTCCAAAGATTAACTATCAATATAGAGGAAATAGGAGGAGTATAAAGTACTTAGAGAGAGGGTCCCAGATTCAGGACTGGGATAGGAAGGTGACATTATTAACAGTAAGTGTCCATACTCAGATTTTTCTTCATTTCAAATCCTTTCTGAAATGAGTTAGGATATAAATACATAAAATGCACTCATCAGTTTTTATTTCTTTTCTTCCACTTCTTAGGGGTAATAATGTAATTGATAACTTAAGCTGAATCACATCAGACAGTTGAGAAAAAAGCTCTTGAGGCTTTGATGACAAGTAAATTGAGGACTCAGAGAGCCCACACATGCTCAGAGAAGTCTTAGTAACCAAGTTAAGGTGTACAGTGGGACATAAAGGATCATTCTAAATAATTCCTGTGAGTAAGAGATGTTTTCAAAACAGCATTTAAAAATAACAAGTTAAAGATTAGTGAGTAAGGTACATCCAGCATATTACAGGCATTAAAAAAAACACTTTAAAATGGTATTATCAGAAATCAAATATTTCTGTGAAAAGGGGATGGCTAAGTCAATATTAGATCTAGTGGGTTTTGAGCAGCTAGTGGCCACAGTCTTTCAAACACGGCTGGTTTAGGTCTTCAGTGATCTTGAAATCTTGCTCTCTACTACAGCCTGGTAGCAGCAAGGCCGAATTACAGCCTTAACCAAACCCAGAAATCAAACCCGTTATCATTGAGTCAATTCTGACTTATAGCGACCCTATAGGACAGAGTAGAACTGCCCCATAGAGTCTTCAAGGAGCAGCAGGTTGATTCGAACTGCCGACCTTTAGGTTAGCAGTTGAGCTCTTAACCACTGCACCACCAGGACTGATTAAATCCCTTTGAAAGCAGAAATTTATAAGTACTGTGATAACAATGAATGTCACAAATACAGCATAAAGAGTGAACATAGTCTGTCTATATACTGACATTCTACTAACCAGAACTCTTTAAGAAGTGGCGCATTTATGCAACCACAATAATTATAATGAGGTTAATGACCCTAAGGCTCTGAATGACATCCAAATATTAGGGCCAACTAAATTATCTTTTATGTACCGAAATACTACAGTTCCTTACCAGACCAGTTCACACTACCTTTATTATTCTCTTAGTAATTAGCACAAACCTTAGAAATGCCTTTCTTTGCTGACTGGTTGTGGGGGACTGGTTTCTTTTTTTCAGAATGGAATGATTGTTCACGTCCTTTCTGGGCGATGCATTGAAGCTGTGGTGCAGGAAAACAATAAAGACTTGTATTTGCGCCAGTGTGATGGAAAAGCCAGTCAGCTATGGCGATTTGACCAAATCAATGCTGTGGATGAACAATGAATGCCATTGTCAGAAGGAAAAGAGAATTTTGGCCAACACAGTTCAGCTCCAAGGGAACTAAAGAGCATGTATATTTCATGAAACAGACCTCTTCGTGTTTGTGTTCCTGGTGATAGGAAAGACTATAAAAAGTCTCTCCTCTTGCATCTTATTTCATTGACAGATGGCTGTTTGAAAAGGAAAAATTTGATTTATTATCTCATTGTCTTCATCACTGGAAGATAATCATTCCATAGTACAGAAGGTTCTTCATTTTTTTTTTTCCATTGAACGCTTAACAATTGCTTTTACTTCTGACTAGGGAAGGAAGCCTGGACATTTCTAGCAGCACCTCGAGGAAACAAAGATCCAATGGATCAATTTCTTTGTCTTCAAATGGCCTTACCTTGGATTGTCTCTGTGGCCAACCATGAAAATTAGAGTGTGAAGAGTGTGTAATGGCTTGACATCCCAAATACTTTGGACAAGGCTTATTAACATGAATTTCATGCTCACTGGTAGGAAAATAGCTCAGAAAAAGGAAGAGTAGGGTTGAAGTGAAGATGGAAGAGAGCTTTGACCCAATTATCCAACTCAATCTAGCAGCTGAAAAGAGTCAGTAGACCTCAGGAAGGTATTTTCACGTTTATGAGAATTTCATTGAGATTTCTACCTCCGTCCACCCTGTCCTAGCCTTTCTCTAGATTAGCTACCATAACCTGCCAGATTCCCTTGGAATGTATTTCTCTTTAATCCTTGGTGTTGGAAGGATCAGCCAAGACTGAGCATGCCCATTAACAAAAATGTTTACAGTTAAGGAACTTTCCTGATGTCCTGTTTCAGGGTTTGCATTTACTGGATCATTAATAGCAATCTTTGCAAAGTGACAGAACTCCCTGAGAAGGAAATTACAGAGTCTAAGCTAAAATTCTATGAGAGGAAGCAGAGCTGGGTGTAAATATCCATGAAGTGGTGACAGGGCTATCCCTGAGCCCATAGGAGCGATCTGGGACCTCCAAATGTGCCCACAGGTTGAACATTCACAAGTGCGGCTACTGTGTCTGACACCTCAACAAGGACAGAACCAATGTTAAGGACAGTTGAATGACTCTCCTTGCTGTGTCCTTGCCTACATAGCACAGCATAAGTGTTGCTGAGTGGGGTTGATTCTGATATTAAGAAGATGCCATTCCTTGGGACCATGGTCTCAGGGGACATCTGGGTCAATTGGCATAACACAGTTCTAAGATACATCTACTGCTCCCATCTATCTGGAGCAAAGGAGAATGAAGAAAACCAAAGACACAATAAAAATATTAGCCCAAAGGACTAATGGACCATTCTAACCACAGCCTTCACCAGCCTGAGCCCAGAAGAACTAGATGGTGCCCAGCTACCACCATCGACTGCTCTGACAGGGATCACAATAGACAGAGCAGGAAAAAAATGTAGAACAAAATTCAAATTCACAAAAAAAGACCAGACTTACTAATCTGACAGAGACTGGAGGAACTCCTGAGGCTATGGCCACCAGACCCTGCTAACTGACAACTGAAGCCACTCCCAAAGTCCACCTTTCAGTCACAGATTAGACAGGCCTATAAATCAAACAATAACACACGTGAGGAACGTGCTTCTTCATTCAATCAAGTATACGAGACCAAATGGGCAACACATGCCCAAAAGCAAAGACAAGAAGGCAGGAAGGGACAGGAAACTTGGACAAATGGACACTGGGAACCCAGGATAGAAAAGGAAAGGGGGAGAGTGTTAGCACATTGTGGAGATTGCAACCAATGTCACAGAATAATTTCTGTATAAATTTTTGAATGATACATAGTGACAAGGATCAACTTCAGTGAAGGAAAGGATAATACACAATACAGGGGAAGTCAACACAAATGGACCAAAGCAAAAGCTAAGAAGTTTCCTGGACACATCCAAACACTTTGAGGGACAGAGTAGCTGGGGCTGGGGCCTGGGGGCCAGAGTTTCAGGGGACATCTAGGTCAGTTGGCATAACATAGTTTATAAAGAAAATGTTCTACATCCCACTTTGATGAGCAGCGTCTGGGTTCTTAAAAGCTTGCAAGCAGCCATCTGAGATACATCAGTTGGTCCCATCCCACTCGGAAGAAAACCAAAGACACAAAAAATACTAGTCCGAAGGACTAAAGGACAGAATGAGCTAGAGACTCCACCAGTCTGAGACCAGAAGAACTAGATGGTTTTAAGCTACCATCAATGACCGCCCTGACAGGGAACACAACAAAGAGTCCCAGACAGAGTAGGAGAAAAATGTAGAAAAGAAACTAATTTGTGCTGTAAACTTTCACCTAAAGCACAATAAAATTTTTAAAAACCCCAGGAATGCACCATTAAAACGAAGAAGAAGATGCTATTCATACCCATTTCTCTCCAAGGTAGAGTTCACTCTACATGATCAGCTTGAAAACCTCCCTCTCAACAATGCTGATCTCCTTCAGGCTGTTTCAAAGCAAAGCGTATTTCGAATGAGAAAAACTACGTAGAAAGTGTGCATTTCCAAACAATACCTGTCATAATTATGTATTCCTTCTCCGCTTGCGTAAATCAATGGCATACTGCACTTCTCCTTTCTCAGAACATACTCTAGACCTGTGCTGTCCAACATGGAAGCCACCTACCACATGTGAATATATAAATTTAAATTCACTAAAATTAAGGAAAATTTAAAATTCAGTACTTCAGTTGTACTGGCCACATTTCACGTACTCACTAGCGACTGTATTGGCTACTATATTGGACTGTGCAGATATAGAATACCCCCATCGTTACAAACAGTTCTATTGGACAGTGCTGATCTAGGTAGCTATGTCATCCCATCTAGAGAAGAGACTTTACCCGCTGTTTTCCTGCTTCAGACCTGTCTATATTTAAAACAAATTCCCATAGCACCCTGAGGCTGAGCTGGAGCTAAAAATTCTCAGATGACAACTTTGTAAAAGGTATTACTGGTTGAAGAATAAACATTAAACAAGACCTCTATTTTTTTAAATGAATTTTATTATCGACCTTGTGGGTGCTTGATGTTGCTGGGATAAATGAACATAATTAAATAAAAGATTGAATTCAATTGTGTAAGTTGTGTTTGATAGTAATTAACAAAAGGACCCAGATGGCTTATTGCTTAATTGGTTGAACAAAGCAAGAACATGATGTTTCTTGCTTCTTTAACCATCCCCATGATTTATTACTTTATTACAGAAATGGTTGTCAACATGGTCCCTGGCTGGTACTTACAGACCTTTAATTTAAACAAAACAGATGCCTCCATTTAGTTCTAAAAGAAATCCAACCTTCTCATCATAGTGTAGCCAAGTATTCAAATTCCCTCCTTCTCTGTTGACTCAGCTTTAATTTCATCCACAGTTATCAATTTAAAACTAGAAAATTTGGCAGCTGGGAGACCTGATTCCCAAGAGTCTGATCTTTATTTGCCCACCTGACTTTTATGATTGGTTTCTGTCATGGATTGAATTGTGTCCCCAAAAAATATGTGTCAACTTGGTTAGGCCATGATTCCCAGTATTGTGTGGTTGTCCTCCGTTTTGTGATTGATATAATTTTCCTATATGTTGTAAATCCTAATCTCTGCCTGTGGTTAATGAGGCAAGATTGGATTATGTTGAAGAAGATTAGGGTGGGATGTAACACCCCTGCTCAGGTCACATCCCTGATCCAATGTAAACGAATTTTCCCTGAGGTGTGACCTGCATCACCTTTTATCTTACAAGAGATTAAAAGGAAAAGGAAGTGAGCAGAGAGTGGGGGACCTTATACCACCAAGAAAGCAACACTGGGAGCAGAGCATGTCCTTTGGACTTGAGGTTCCTGTGCAGAGAAGCTCCTAGACCACGGGAAGATTATGACAAGGACCTTCCTCCAGAGCCAACAGAGAAAAGAAAGTCTTCCCCTGAAGCTGATGCCCTGAAATGGGACTTGTAGCCTACTAGACCGTGAGAGAATAAATTTCTCTTTGTTGAAGCCATCCACTTGTTGTATTTCCGTTATAGCAGCACTAGATAACTAAGACATTTTCTAAGACTGAATTTCATCATCACCTCCACTAAGTTAGTCAATGGAATCCCACAGGCTGGGGGGAATGGAGAGAAGTGTTCAGCCAGCAGCTTAAGGGTCAACATTCTTGTTTTTTTGTTTTTTTTTTGCAGGGAGTCCCTGGGTGGCACAAACATTTAAGCGCTCAACTACTAGCCAAAATGTCGGTGGTTCAAACCCACCCAGAGGTACCTCAGAAGACAGGGCTGGCTATCTGCCTTTGAAAGTTCACAGCCCTGAAAACCCTGTGGAGTAGTTCTGCTCTGCAGATAGGGGGGTCACCATGAGTCGGAATCAACTTGATAGCAACTAACACCAACAAGGGAAGCGGTGATGGCAGAAGGGGAAAATGTGAGGTAGGCATAGTGTTTAACTGGGTGTAAGAAGTTGAGTGCCAGAGTTGTGGATGGGAGCTCAGGGGAAGGGGAAAGTATGTGGTTTCACACACTATGCTCCAATCACAATAACAGCTCCAAGTTATAATTACGTTTTTTTTTTCCTTTAAATTCAATTATTTTGTTGTTGTTGAGAATATACACAGCAAAACATACACCAATTCAATAGTTTCTATGTGTAAAATTTAGTGACATTGATTACATTCTTCAAGTTGTGCAACCATTCTCATCTTCCTTTTCTGAGTTGTTCCTCCCTCATTAAAATAAACTCACCACCCTCTAAGGTTCCTATCTAATCTTTCTAATTGCTGTTGTCAATTTGATCCCACATAGTTATAATGCTCAAGGCAGGCCTTTTTTTGCTAGTTAAGCTAAAGTATTGTTCAGTTTTAAAATGACTTCAGGGCATATTTTCGGTTTAAGGTTTAAAGATTATCTCAGGGCAATGGTTTCAGGGCTCATCCAGCCTCCATGGCTCCAGAAAGTCTAGAGTCCATGAGAATTTGAAATTCTGTTCTTCGTTTTCTC